TATTTTTGTGAATGTGTATTGTTATAGGTTTTAATTGTATATTTATTTATTGTTTTAACGTCTTGTGAGCTGCCCAGAGTCCCCCATTGGGGGGAGGTGGGGGGGGGACAAAATTAATTAATTAATTAATTAAATAAATTCTTAGACAAGGTAATTAGCCAGGATTCCAAACGGACTAGATCTTTAGAAGGGAGTGTCCTAAGGTCAGGAACCCTACCGAGCTGGGGTTTCCTGGGTTTGCTTTATCAGGTATTGTCTCATTGGAATGTAGATCCCTTCGGGGAAGAAACCTTTTTTAAGATTTGATTAAGGCTTGAAGGAATGTTGACCCTTCCTGCTAGGGTTATTTAATTTGGGGCTAGGGTGGAAGATGCTTGATTCTTCCTGCTATCTTTTTGGGTGAGCCCATTCTTACCGTAATTTAATCATGTGCCTTGACTGCTGTTAAGATAAACGATGGTAGGGTGAGACAAATGGGAAGCTTTGACTTCCTGCTGACCTGGGTCAGGGGGAAGAATTTGATTTCCTTCTCATGCCACATAGGCCAAATGGAAGGCAAAGTTGTGGGGAGAAAGGAAGGGAACGTCTGTTCTCCTGAGAGATGGAAATGAGGGTGGCATCTGGGCTTCCCTGAGTAGCTTATTGCTGGAGAAGCTGACCCTTATAAACATCATGCAACTTTCCAAACTGGTGCCTCTGTTTTCCTTCTCCCTCTTCATTTCACTTTCCTTTAGTGCTGTGTCTTTTCCATTCCTAAACCTGAGGACAGAGCCTGTCTGTTCTTATTCTTGAAAACCCCACTCGGGGAGCAGGATATAGAAATACTTTCAATAAGAAATAGACATCCTTTCATGTAGGATTACTATATCGGGGTGGCAAAACTCCTGGTGGTCACTAAATGGCATCCAAGAGATAAAGAAAAGTAACTCTTGGCTGCCATCTGGTGCTCATCTGGCTTCTAGCAGCAGAAATACGATAACCTGAACTTCTTGCCTGCTCACAGCAGGGAATCCCAACCCGGAAGCCGTCCCAGCCCTTGGCATCTTGATTCCCAGGGTGCTCACGTGGAAGAAAGGAGACGGGTGACAGCAAAGAGAAAGAGAGCGAAGACACCTCTCGAAGATTTCCACCTGCGCTACCTTTGGGTCACGGATCTCTCTGCACAAGCTTGGTGCGAGCAACAAATGGTTTATCACAGAGAACGGCCGGATCTGCAATTGCCAGAGAGGGAAGTGCTGTTAAATACAGGAAAGTCCATACATCTTGTCAGAGGTGACGTCATTTGGATGTCTTGGTGATTCCAGCCTTTTCTTTACTTTCTTTAATATACTGTATTGCAAGGGGTGGGAAATAGGGTCCTTGAACTGTTATGAACATGTCCATATTTTTTATCTGTAAAATGGTGGGTGTTTTCTGTATAATAAAGTTGCTAGTCCTTAAGGTGCCCCAGAACTACCTTTTTGTATGGGACTAATATGGCTCCCCTTCTAGCATGTGACTTTTCCTTTATAGTAACAGAAAGTAGCAACATCCAGCCAGTTGTGGCTGAGGTTTAAAAAGCTGATTAGAGTCATACCTGGTTAGTACTTGGATGGGAGGCCACCAGGAAATGCCAAAGTTATAAATTAGAAGGGATTAGACGAAGAAAAGACTGAGAAGTTGGCAGTGGCAACCCACTTCTGTATTATTGCCAAAAGAGTTACCAAAAGTCAGGCTGAACGCAAGAGAAACTTTGATCTTTCAACAGTAGAAGTATTCTTTTTGAATCCAGCCCCCATCCCCACACCGGTCTAGGATTGCTTAAAATCAAAGCCATGCAGTTTCTTATCATTTTTAAGGGGGATCTTATCATTT